AATTAGTTGACTTGGAAAAAGAAAGTGGGTTTGGTCTTCCCAACCAACACATCATCTAATACACCACCAATACCATAACTGCTCCACATATTAACATCAAATCACATTGATTAAGACACTAATGAGAGGTTTTTGGTTTAATCTATATACTTGGTTGATTGATGGTTAAACAGTTACACCAATTCAATAATGTGTATATATATGTATATATTATTAATTACTATATTTTAACATATATTATAAACAAAGTTATACTATTTTAATTTTTTTATATATGGCTGTCTAAGTTCTAACATTAGTCTTATTTGTATTACTCATTATTTGTGACATCGATTGTACAAAGCCTGTCGCTAGTTAAATTTACGTAGTCAAGATGGTTCAAAGGCAGTTGTAACATTTATTCTCTTATAACGAAAATAAAAATTAAATTATTTCCTACATTATATTATTGTTATTGATATACCGCCCACCAATGAAACACTGTCATTTGTGGATGAAAATTACAATTATAAATATTTTTCACACTTCAAGAATGTATATGTACCAATTTTATGCATGGTTGGTTGAACGGGACACAATCAATCTATATTATTTGACTAAGATGATTCTTTGGAAGGTTTTGATAAATATTTTTCCAAATTACTCATACGGTCATACCTATCACATTTTTTATTTTTACTTTAAAGATTGTGCCTTACCAAAATAATTGATAAGAAATTCAGCATCCAGTGCTTTTATCATTATAATATATATTTTCAATTAGCAATTTTATTAATTCCATCAACACAATATTGTCCAAATTAATATTTTCATTGTCGTAATTGTAAAACGAAGCATGTTATAAATAAAATATATCTTGTAATGCTAATCTCTTTATATATTAATTCGGAACATGATGAGTCTAATTAGCAGACTCGTATGTTTCGGGATCTTAAGTGACAAAATTATATACTTTGTTATTAGGTTTGAGTAGATTTTAATTTACTTTCAATTTAAAAATAATTATGTTTGTATTATTCATAAATATATTAATTATTTATAATCATGTTAGGTGTATTAATTGAATCTTAATATCATTTTTTATTAAAATAATTAAATTGTAAATGTATTTTAAAAAATTAATAACTTTTGTATAAGTTAACTTATTAAAAAAAAAAGAAAAAAAGTGAGAGAATATATTCAATACTTAATTAATTGTCTCTGCGTATCTGCCTTCCCAAAATTGATTCCCCACTCAAATATTTGCTCTCCCCCATCAATCACTCTGCAAATCAATTCCTCACTCTGTGAAAACAAAGAGAAAAATACAAGAAAAGCTAAGGAAAAGAAATAATTTGAAACCACCCAAAAGACAGAGCTGAAACTTGGAGCTGCAAAATCACCATCGAAAGAGCTTGTGAATTCAATCCTTGGTAGCTATGGCGAAAAGATCGCTTCCGGTGCTTCTTGCCCTGACCATTGTGTCGCTGTCGGTAGTTATTCCGATCGCGCGTGGCAATTCGGAAGGGGACGCGCTTTACGCGCTTCGCCGGAGCTTGACCGACCCGGATAAAGTGCTCCAGAGCTGGGATCCGACTCTCGTGAACCCGTGCACCTGGTTCCACATCACATGCAATCAGGAAAACCGCGTCACTCGCGTGTACGTCTGTTATTGATTTTTGAATTATTATTATTTGGGGAAAGAAAAAATGATTGAGAAGGTGTGTGTTTTCTAGGGATTTGGTGTTTGAATGGTTGGGTACATCTGATATTTGTTAGCTAGTTTTGGAATTGGACTGTCTCGTTTTTCCTTTACCTTTTGTTATAGTTGTGATTGTGGGCTACTGTTCTGTGTGAATTATGAGAAGGGGGCTATTTAGCATTACATTATATTGATATTGCAAAATGATATATTTGCTTCAGTTTGTGAATAAAGAAGTTTGGACTGTAATTTGTGAAAATATCAAAATACTTTGAAAAATTTGATCTTGGCCCCTATTTGAGTATATGATTATATCCGGACTTTCTTAGAGTCTTCAGTTGGTCTGTTGTATGTAGTGCTCTTCGTTTGGGCTACAGAGGATGCCTTGATACTTTGGGATTTAGTGTAAGGAAACATTTTCTGTTTGCTGTTTCCATTGATGGCCAAAAGATTAGTGACATTCTTCATAGTGTCAATGGTTAGGCGCTTTAGGAACTTTGTTTATTTGATTCGCTATATTTGGTGAAATTCTCACCGGTTTCATATTTTAACTTTCTTCTTTTTCATTATTTGGAGCTTTCTTTCATATGTTTATATACAATTACGAGACTCAGTCTTATTGTTTTGTTATCACTTTTTTGTCAGGGACCTTGGGAACTCAAATTTATCTGGTCACCTAGTACCTCAGCTTGGAAATCTTGAGCATCTCCAGTATCTGTAAGGAAAATTCTTCGACTTTATCTCATATCGGCAGATGAAGCCATTTGATTTATGAATACATTTTGGCATAAAGAAATTCTGTGCTTGGGTTTTGTTACATTGTATTTCCGTTCTTTTGCTTCATAAATGGATTGCCATGTCTTTATCCTGCAGGGAGCTTTACAAAAATAACATTCAAGGGTCAATTCCTTCTGAGCTTGGCAACTTGAAGAACTTAGTAAGTTTGGACCTATATAACAACAATCTCACAGGAAAAATACCCGATTCATTGGGAAAGTTGCAATCACTTGTCTTTCTGTAAGTTTTTACTTTTAACTCTGTCATTGTTTATATAATTCTTATTTTTACTGGTAGGTTTGATTTTGTTTAGCTTCATGCACTTTTCTTAACTTAGATCTTATGTGCAATTGATTTTGTTTATTTTCATATGCGTTGATGAATGTCTCACTTCATTTTCTTATACACCGTTGGCAATGGCATAGCTTTAATAGATCAATATTTCCTATGAAACTTAAGTTTTTCCTTTTATCTCCATTTTCGTCATTTTTTCATGCGTGCACAACCAGCACTGACGATTAAGTTACATAGTTATATTTATTTCAATAACCCTTTATTTATTTGGCAGACGTGTGAATGATAATCAGCTTCATGGACCAATTCCGAGGTCATTAGCTGGTGTATCTAGCTTGAAAGTTGTGTAAGTGCTTCTTAAGAAAACTGATGCTAATTTTCTTATGCTAATGGGTTTTGTGGTTCAAGAATGTTGCTAATATATGCGTACATTTTTGCAGAGATGTCTCAAATAACAACTTGTGTGGTACAATTCCTACCACTGGTCCTTTTGAACACATCCCATTGAACAAGTAAGATTCGCATCTTTGATATATTGGATTGTCGAACATCTTGAATGTTACACCATCATCATACATCACCTAGGCATTTTATATATGTAAATTTATGGATATAATCATGCAAGGTATGGGGCAAGGGGGGTAGCCTGGGGATCATATATTCATATGCGGGATGTTAAAAAAGAACCAGCTTTTCAATCTTTCATCTAGCTAAAATACATTGGAATTCAATTATATCATATATTTATCTGTATTGGCATGGAGCGTTAATTATGCCATTGGCTGGATAATATTGAAAACTCCTTTTCTTCCCCTTTTTGTGTTTATAAAAGCTTGGAGATTATTTAGTTTATTTTTGCTTTCCTCTTTTGAATATAACTGGAAATGTGATGGATATTGATAAAAAGTCATCGTGAAGGAGTGCTAAATCTTACCAAATCTTTTCTAGTTTGGAACTATTCAAACAAACTATCGTTGTTATTGTGAGTTTATGATTCTTTTGCTTCTCCTTGATCACTATTTGCAAATCTATGCTCTTGATCCTCTTTTTCAACCTGGTTTTAAATTTTTAATGACCTTTTGTTGCATTTTGCAGCTTTGAGAAAAACCCCCGACTGGAAGGCCCTGAGCTGCTGGGACTTGCAAGTTACGATACAAACTGTTCTTGATGAACTCTGGGGAATCGTTGGGGTATTTGTCGTGTTCTGGGTGGTGCTTATTTTTCTTCTTTAGTTTATTAAAACTTGTAATAGTTACCAATATGAGTGTTTGAACTCAACCATGGATGTGTTCAAGTTGATGTATTTCATGAATTCACTGTTAATTTATGGCTTCAACCATTAGGATTCGAAAAATATGGAATTAGACATTTTCAAGTTTTGTGATTGAACCGAAACCTTTGGTCAACGGTTTTGGTTAACCATTGACCACAGTTCCAATTAAGACTAACCATTAACCGTGGTTTGGCAGTTCAGTTACGGTTTGTAATATGTGGGAACTGTAAATGTGCCACTAACTCCTCAGATGGTTACAAGAACTTCAGTAGCAGCAGAACTAATATATTTTTCATGTAACAAACATTTTCAAATTGAGAAAAGCACTAACATATGTAGAAATACATGAAGTCTTACAGAAAATTTGTCCCCAAACAAAAAGAAAAACACTCATTTCATAGTATAACCGTGAAATACAGTATCAGGGCATACCAATCAACAACAAACTCAAAGTTATGCACATATTTTACAGAACACTCAATATCAAGCTTGCAACTTTCACCAAGACTCAATACTCATCTCACAACCAAACCTAAAAGGAAAAAAAATAAAATAAAATGTCAAACCTCAAAAACTTCAAGAAATCAAATCAAAACAACTCATTCTTGAAGAAACCGACCATCTCGTCAGTTAACAAAGAAAACCGAACGAAAATCCAAAAACCAATAATGTAACACGCCAAACACGTCATTATCTCAATCTCCGATCCTCATTCCTTCTCAGAATCACTTGAACTAGACTCCGAGCTAGAGCTGGAGCTTGAACTTGAGCTTCGAGAGATTTTTCCCTTCGGTGCTTCATCTTGGTCATCTGGCTTTTCAACTTCCACACTAATTTCTTGCACACTCGAATCTATCACAGCTGGACCCACCTTGTTTGCCTCAACTCCAATTGATTCATCATGTTCGAGCGATTTACCTAGCACTTCATCAGCCAGAGGCAAAGAAGTAGTACCCTCTGAAAGTACAATCATTTCAGAAGAAGTTTTCTGAGCGCAATCAACCGGATCAGAAAGTGATTGGTTTGAAACCAAATTATTATCTTTCTCGACTTGTCTAACTTCAACAGCCAATGTATTGTGAGTGAGCTCTGTCTCACTTGAACTTTCATTCAGTGCATCTTTCTTGGAATGCTCGGCTAGAGTTTCTTTAAGTGCCAGCTCAGCTTTGGGTGAATCCTTAGAAGTGATTTCTTTGATTGCCATATTAATATCTTCAATTTTACTAGCTTCGAGTTCAACCAACTCAAGTTTGCTAGGAAAAGAATCAATTTTTTCATCGGCCAGAGTTTCTTGAACTACCGGCTCTTCCTCGACTGGTTTTGTACCAGTAATAGTTTTTTTAAGAGCAAGATCGATGTCTTCGATTTTACTAGCTTCGAGCTCAATCATTTCAGACTTGGTCTCTGTATCAACTTCATCTTGATAGGTGATTTCATTTTCCACGGATGCCAGCTCAGCTGTATTTGAAAAGGACTCGATTTTTTCGTCGGGTAGAGCTTCTTGAGACACTGGATTGGCTTTAAGTGGTGGTTCCTTCGAAGAAGTGATTTCTATAATTTCCAAATCATCATTCTTGATTTTATGAGCTTCAAGCTCATCCATCTGAAAAGTGGTCTCCATATCAACTTGACCTTGATAGGTAATCTCATTTTCGATAGATGCCAACTCGGCAGCTTTGTTGGAAAAAGACTCGATTTTTTCCTCGGCTAGTGTTTCTTGAACTACAGGCTCACTTTCGTAGAGTTCCTTGGAAGTAACGACTTCTTTGAATGCTAGGTCAATATCCTCAATTTTAGTAGCCTCGAGTTCAACCAATGCCACCTCATCTTTCACCAAAAACGAAACATTTTTTTCGTCCGGCTGCACTTCGGTTTCAGGTATTCCAGATAAATTATCTTCCCGCTCGAGAGAAGCAAAATGATCGACACTTCCTATTTTAGCTTCCACTTCCTGTTCATGAATATCAACGACCTCCTCCTTCGATTTCTCCAAATGTGCCGCCTCATCTTCGATTTTATCACTTTCGTCCAAGTCAATGTCAGCAGCACCTCTTGTGTTGCTAATTTGGATGTCTTGCTCGAAAATTTCTTCAACGGAATAATAATCTATGCGTTTTTCGATCTCGCCTGAGCCGGGTCCCCATTGGTTGACACTAAAGTCCCCAACATTATCCAACTCGGACAACAATTCCTCGTCAATGTCTTTAATATCATCCACTTCTTCAGTTATTAATTGAACATCCTCAGATGACTCGACTAGGACACTTAGTTCCTGCAATGTACCAGCCAAGAGAACGTAGCTTAAAATCTAGATAATTAGAGGACTAAAAGCTATTTAAGTTAATCATGCAATTATGAAACAAATGGGAAGCTTGGAATCTTTGAAAATTTACGTGTTTTCTCGTTGAGGTTCTTAAAGTTACTAAACAAATACCTAGGAATCTTTGAAAGTTACATATTTTCTCGTCGAGGTTCTTAGTTACGAAAAAAGTACCCCCTTCCTATTGATGCAGAAATTTGTAAAATATACGAAGTTATTTATTATAAGGGATCTGTAATTTGACTAGATACCAACAGCATATTTGTAGTTAACCTTTGAAGTTAACAGAAACTTTAGACGAGCCACCTCATGCATCCACATGTTAGACTCAATGTCAGAATTATATTATTGATTTTGAGCGTTCCTTAATACAGAACGAATGTTCCAGAACAAAGGCTTGACACGAGAGTTTCTTAAGAAGATATCTGTCTTTAAAATGCAACTCGCACAAAAGATAAAGAAATGAACTATGATTAATGATGCTCCTGAGAGAACCATTTTCAATGTTCATTGCAAGAATTGTCCACCTTTTGCCAATTGGAAGAAACAAAACCGAATGAGAGGTTATATTTTATTTTTTTTAATAAATAATCTTATATATATTAACTTACCCGCACTTCATCGAGATGCCCAGAATGTGGTACGTGCATTTCTCTTGCAACATCAAACGGATAAGAATTTCCCTCAACCGAAGGCATCGACTTCTCATCAGCTCTTTCATAAGCATCTGCATCAGACTCTTGTGATTGAACAGTCCCTCTATCTTCTTCATTGCCCATCGCATGTTCGTCTCTCATCAGACCCTCAGAAAATCGCCCCCTAACCTCAAATCGTTCTTTTGAAGATTCTTCATCCACGTCGCGAATACATTCTTCGCCTCTTGAACCAGAGACTTCCCTTAAACCATGTTCCTCAACAAGATTTTCCTCCACAAAAGTTTCGACACCCGATTTCAAAGAAATAGGAATCTCAGGTATAAAACCGGGATCAACCGAGGAACTTTCTATTTTATCAGATTCCTTTCCAACTTCCGAAAAATCAGTGCTCACATTGTTGTTCTCTCTAGAATCAACAGTTTCAGGCAATATCTCAATATTATGTTCAATGTGTCGAGGGCTCAAATCGTAAACAGGAACCCTTTGAGGGACATCAACAAGCAAATTACCCGAATTAGTACTTTCTATAGAAGTCTGGTTCAAAATGCCGGGCTCTTGAGCAACACCATATGTATTCCCACTTTCTATTTCCGTGAAAACTCTTTCACTCACTTCCGAAAGTGAGGATGAGCTCGATTCCCTTCTGTACGCCTGTTCACCACCTTCATAGTTCGAATTATACTCTGTAGCTTGGACAGTTACACTCTCTGGTCCAAAATGATCTGCAACATCTCGTAATTGATCTTCTTCAAGATCTCTCCTTTCAACTTGGTCTAACTCCAAAGATTCTTCGTCATCCGAAGATTGACTCCCATGTCCCACATGCTCCGAAACATTCACAATCTCGGATATTGGTTCCAATTCTCGATTTTCTTCTTCTTCATCATCTTCTTCTTCTTGATGTCCCACATGCTCCGAAACATTCACAATCTCCGATATTGGTTCCAATTCTCGATCTTCTTCTTCTTCATCATCATCTTCTTTTTCTTGATGTCCCACATGCTCCAAAACATTCACAATCTCGGATATTGGTTCCAATTCTCGATTTTCTTCTTCTTCTTCATCTTCTTTTTCTTGATGGGAAATCAGCTCTTGGTCTCCTGGTGGGCCCTCGAAAGCTTCCTCCATCTCTTGCTCGACCGACAGCTTCTTGTCTTCCAAATCCTCAACCGAAACAATCGACTCAGTCTCGGGAGCCGAACTAACCTTCGACTCGCTAAGCCCGCTCGACTGCCGCCTGAACAAAGAAGAGGAAGGCGACTCCTCCGAAATTGTGCCCACGGGCACAAAATACGGCCTCATCCTCGCATCCCTTCTCCCGGGCCCGAAAACCGAAGGCCCCACATTATTAAAGATCTCGTGCCTCCTGAAAACCGAAAACTCCTCCTTGAACCCATCTCCCATTAGGTTCGGCTTCTCCTCATTCGGGTCGTAAGGGATGTCAAACGGGTTTCGCCTCTGGATCAAGACTGAAGGGGCCGAGCCCGGAATTGGCGGCAAGCCCAAATCTTCGTAAGAATCATCGTGAGGGAGGTCAAACGGGTTGTTCTGCCTCCGGGTCAAGATGGGAGTGAGACCAAACGGGTAATCGATGCCTTCTAAGTCGATTAGGTTCCTTTCAACGCTCTTCCGGGCTCGTCTCCTAAGGATCAAATTCTCGAGCCGTTGATTACGCTCGATTTCGGAACTTCCAAGGTCCATGAGGTTCTTTTGGTCTTCTTCGGTCCACGTGATGGCCGAATTAGAACCTCCTTCGATCTCCTCCTCTCGCGCCTCGTCGTGGGTCTCGGATTCATCATCCGAGTTGTGGCTCCGAACGCTCGACTTATCCGAGGATGCCACGTCATCCACCGGTTGGGGGGCGTCCTCGTCAAGTAGCGGGTGGAGTTCGTCGAGCATCGGGAGTATGTCGGCCATTGATGCGTCGGGGGACGAGCTCTCGGCGCAGTCCGAACCGGAATCGGAACTTTCGACCCGTTCATCATCATCATTATCATTATAATCATCTTCTTCTTTTTCTTGTTTTACTTTTAGCTCATGTAGAATATCATCAACTTCTTCTTCTTCACGATCCTCGATTCTTGTCCATGGAGAACGAGGAGGGGAGTCGAGCGAGTCGACATTCACCTTCTCGGAGTCGAACGAGTCGGCCTCCGATGATTTCTCATCATCCGATTCGAGAACTTCTTCGATCTTAACTCTCTCGCTCGAATCTCCATTTTCATGCCAAATTCCGTTAACGTTTGATTCCAATTTCTCATCGTCCGATTCAAGAACTTCTTCAATCTTAACTCTCTCACTCGAATCTCTGTTTTCATGCCAAATTTCGCCAACATTTGATTCCAATACGCGCGATCGTTCGTCGATCAACGGTGTGGCATCATCATCCAAATCACCCTCCAACCTCTCCAGAAAACGACCCTCGATCTCCTCAATGGGAGATGTTTTTTTCTCCTCGATTTCGATTTCGGGTATGTTAGGCTCCCCATAACTCAATAAAACTCCAAGTAAAACAGCAGTGCATATGAGGATAGGGGAAGTAGATACCAATAGTGAGAAGATGAAAGGGGATGATCTGTACAGTAATATCAAGAAACATAGGAAGCCCACTAGGAATGGGTGATTGCAAACTGATCTAAAAGAGACTCTGATTGTAAAGATCACACCTTTTCTCATTTTAACTCCAATTTCCAACATGTCAACTGCCATTTCCCCAAAAATCTGCCACATGAACATAACCCAGAAACATCCCAGTAAATTTAGATCATTGGATCAAGATTATACAACTCTACAAACATGTGATTTTGAAAAATAAAATAAAATAAAAGCAAAATAAATAGTGGTCACTTCAGTCAACAGCTTACCAGAGAGAATTATGGGCTGAGAATCCTGAGAAAGGTAGACAAACAATCACCTGAAAGAAAACCAAATCAAAGGGAGAGATAAAAATTTCCAGAAATCAAACAAATTTTCAGTGATTCACACAGAAGAAAGAGATTTGAGAACTATATAGCAGCTTAAAATAGATAAATCCTGCAAGTGATAAAAATAAAAAAATAGGAAAAGGGACAAGCATAAAAGGAACAATATTGGTTTTAATTTCTAGCTTTTACACTCACACCCAATTCTTTAATTGTCTCAGTCCAGCTGTTGATCCAGTTTTTTTGTCACTGTAATGAAGGTGTAAAATGGTTAAAGGCAAAAGGGTTTAATAAGTGTTTAGTCCATAAGCAGAAAAAAAGGAGATTGTGAATGAAAAGTTGAAAATGGAAAAAATACAAATAAAAAAATAGGTTATTTTATTTTTCCTTTAGTCTCTTTCTCTTTATGTATACTTTTCCACTCATTCACTCAAATGGTTTGCTGCTTTCAAAGTAAAAATTTCAAAATCTTTGAAAGTTTGTGGTGATTTTATGATGGCAGCCATGAATCTAATCCTATGCTCATAATGCACATGATTAAGTCAAGGTAATGAGATTGTATTAATTCTTGTAATTTCCTTTTTCTTTTTATGGTGTGTTAAGAATAATAGACAAAATCCTATTTCTCTAATATAATTTTTTACCGTTTGATTGATACATTTAAATTTAAATTTTTTTACTATCATTTAATCTATACATATACATATACTTATGTCCAATTTTTCAGAAAATATCAAAATAATTATGATGGTGATGCTTACTTTCTTGAAATATGAGCTTTTAAATCTGACTTCCTTTTCCTCTCCTTTGATGGTGGACGGTGGGAAGCACAAGAAAGGACCCACACCTGGTTGAGGACTAGCTAATTTAGTAAATGCTTATACTTTAAAAAAAATCATAAGCTAATTAAATTAATTTAATTAAATTAGTTTTAAAAATAATAATAACAATATTAATTGGTAATTATTTGCCTAGTGGATTGTATAGATTCATCATGATGTGAACCTGATCTGAAAAGGAGATGAGGTCCAAGAGAAATATATAATTGTTTTTGGATGCATAATAATAAATGGTACCCAACATTCATAGTGTGTCTTATTAGCTTATTTTATTTTATTTTTTATGTAGATTCAATGTTTTTACTTTTAGTTCTATTCTTTGTGTAGGATTTTTGAGCATTTTTTTATATATACATCGTGGAAGCTTTACTACTCAACTGGTATAATGAAGAATTGGCATAATTTTATAAAGAACCATACCAAACCTTTGTAGATATCTATTGACTTATGAGTGGTGAAAATATTGCGGAGTTTTGAATGTTTTCAGATCTTACAATACCTAAAAGAGTCAACTCCAATAAAAGTTCATGGATATTTATATTTTATGGTTTGCTTTGTTCTGGATTTAAGCAATAAATGTTATTGGCATAATGATTGAACACTAAACCTTCAAATGTGTACAAATCTTAAACAAATTGATTGATACAATTCACCTCTAACCTCAATAAATCAATTTAGATTTTCCTAGCTTATGTATAGCATGTTAATTCGAATCATACATGCAATAATTTAGACTTCAGACTGTGTTGGGATATAATTATATATATATAAAATAAAATGTTGGTTTTATTTATCAATTTAACAATTATCAAAATTATTACCATCATAATTAAGAAATAAAATAAATTATCAATATTAGTTAGCGGATAGTATTAATATGTAATATTTTTAAAAGGTGCTGATGGTGTACATGCTATTAGTAAAACTATACAGTAAATATGTTAGATTTTTTATAGTTTGTTTAATAGTTAGATAAACTTTTCTTTTATAAAAAGTAAAACGTAAGATATTCTATAATACAAATATCTATTTTTGATGTAAAAAGAGTATTTGTGTAACTAATATTGGGATGGGCTGATAGTGAATGCTGAGAAAAATATATGGACGTATCAGCAATTTTTACAACCCGTTTATGGGCGCCAAATGGAATTTACCTAAACATGGTTGAGCAGGTGCCAGGCGTCAGCACAACCGCCGGTCAAGCTTTCGACTGTTCCAAGGAAACAGCAAAACCGTACCGCTCTTAATGAAATCAAACCAATAGTTTGCTGGGCTCTCTTATTCATTTATCTTTCTGCGATTTTGGTACGCATTTCTCTCTCAAATTCTTGAAATTTTCATCCCAATTAGGCTGCCCTTACTTTTTTTTTTTTTTCAAGTTTCTNAAACTGTATCTCGCACGCATTTTTCTATGTAATAATTTCTCCAGATTGGATCTATTATTGTATTTTATGGTGGGGGTGACAAGAACGAGCCCAGTAAATGCATTTCTGATTTGGGATTTGATTTTTATGTCGAAAGATCTAACTATTTTGATATAGATAAAATAAAAATGGGACCTTTTTTGTTTTCATTTTGTTTCATGATGTTGTTTGAACAAAAGAGGGTTTGACTTAGTTGTTCTAATGATGTTTCGAGATGTTATCAATTTGTTGTCAAATGGGGTGTGTTTCTTTTGCAATTTTGGTTATCGTAATTCAGATATATGCTCTTGAAAAGTAATAAATCCGTTCAATCTTTCTTGGGTTTCTTTTAATGCACACACATATGATGATTATGTTTGTTTGGTCTCTTTCCTGTTTTCACCAGTTCGAGATTAATTCAATGGTTAAAATAGAGGTATTCGATTTGCAAATGCTGACTGATGATGATTTCAGGTATCTGTAGGTATGCCATTTTGCTTCCTTTTCGTGTGAAGTTATACTCTGTAAAATGTGCATTCGCCCGATGATTTAGTTGGTCGTAATTCCAAAAAGGGGGAAAAGATAAAATGTCGTTCAAAAAACCACAAGCAAGTGGTCCAGAAAGGTCTCAAGAAGAGGAGCAAGCAAAGGTCCTTACTTTTATATTGCTGTACTTAACTATGAAGCATTTTTTTGTTTTGTGCTACTGATTGATTTTCTTGGATTTAGATAAATGATGTTCGGAAGATGATTGGTCCGATTGCGGATAAAGTTCCTTGTCAGTGTGACGATGCATCGATACGAAGGTTTCTTAGAGCAAGAAATTGGAACACCAAAAGAACAGCCAAGATGTTGAAAGAGGCCATCAAGTGGCGTATACAGTACAAGCCGGAAAAGATTCGATGGGTAAAGGCTAATATGGTGTACTTTCCTTTTTCAACAATTAGCTTCAAATACTGATGAAATGCTGTATATATGAGATTCCGTTAGTGCCGAAGTTTAGTATTCAAATTTACTTCGTGAATGTTTAAAGTGTCAACCATTGTACAAAAGAATGCCATTTTTTTTTTCATTTGCAGCTATCTATTTTTTTCCCTATATCATGTATATTTTGCAAATAGGATTTAGTATTTTCAATTTATGTTTAAAATTCTTTTTTGGCGGTGGGTATAGGATGATGTTGCTCAAGAAGCTCAGACGGGGAAAATTTACAGAGCCAATTATGTTGATAAACAAGGAAGGACTGTTCTCGTCATGAGACCTGGATTCCAGGTATCAAGAAAGACCACCGATAATTCTTTATATTTGGTTCTTGCTGAGAATTTTAAAGGAATACAATCTCTTTCCAAGTATTTAATTAAAATACTTGAATTAATCCTTCTGTTCTGCATGCTTTTCTTTTTGGTAAACCACCCGAGTTTAGCCAAGTTAGCGAAAGAAGAAAAAAGAATCCAAGTATCTGTCAGAATTACAAAGGGTTCGAATTTACCGAAAAACTACTATTTGTAACATTGAAAGATAAACCTGATTTATTTCACCTTTTTTTTTTTCCTTCTATGACTTGTTCCTATGTGTATCAAATTCAGAACACAACCTCTGTGGAAGGGCAAATAAAATACTTAGTATATTGCATGGAGAATGCAATAGCGAACCTTGACCATGGTCAAGAGCAGATGGTATGGCTAATTGACTTTCAACAGTGGACCATGGCTTGCATATCCGTGAAGGTCACTCGTGAAACAGCTCGTGTGCTGCAGGACCATTATCCCGAGAGGCTCGGGATCGCGATTCTCTACAATCCCCCCAAAGTCTTCGAGTCCTTCTGGTTGGTACGTTTTCCGTAAAATCATTTCTAATTTACATATGACGGTTGCTTTTCCGGTCTTGATTAGGTAAATATGCACGTCGTGATTAATTTCCGGTTTTGTATACTAGTAATCCGACCTTCATTTACAATGCGGAATTTTTGTCGTAGCTTTTCTTTTTTCGGGTTTACGTGTAATACCTCGATTGGTGGCACTTGTTAAAAAAGCACAAATTGACCTAAATTGCAAGTGTCTGATTTTAATGAGTTCTTACACACACACACACATCCACAAAATTGCATTTTAACTCCTTTTGGTTTAACGTCATAGCAATTTTAGTCTCAAGGTTTCAACATTATGCCTGTGATTTAATATTTTGCTGCAATTTCAGTCCCTTTGAAATTGCAACAAATTCCCAAATTCCAATATTTTTTATTAGCAATTTAAGTCCTGTAATTTAAAATTTTGTTGCAATTTCAGTCCTGTAATTTACAATTTTGTTGCAATTTCAGTCCTCAAAAGACTGAAAAGATTAAGATTGCAACAAAATATTAAAACACTGGACCAAAAAGCGAAAAGTTGGACACTTGGGACTAAAATTGCTATGTCGTTAAAGACTTAAATTGCATTTTTGCCGAAAAAAAGAAAAAAAAGTTCTCGAACTCAATCCAAACACTTAAACTTGTAGCTCGTGAAGCCGTTTTTGGAGCACAAGACGTACAAGAAAGTGAAGTTTGTGTACTCGGACCACCCACCGAGCATGAAGGTGATGGAGTCCTTGTTCGACTTGGACAAATTGGAATCCGCTTTTGGCGGGAAAGGAACCGAGGCCTTCGACTACGAGAAATATGCCGTGCGCATGAAGGAAGAGGAAAGACAGCCCGTGCCCTCGGAGCACACGAGCGAAATACACGACTCGGATTTCTTGGTCTCGGACGTTGGCTCCGAGGTCTCGGACACCGAATCGGACAATTACGAAGCCGGGCCTGGATTGGAGGCCCTCGAGGAGATTCAACGCCTGCAGCAGCTCGACTGCAAGGGCGAAACCGACAATTCGGGTGCAGCGAAGAAGTGAAGAAAGCATGGTTTTACAAGGGGGATGGAGTTGACTAATGAAAATCAAGTGATCATAACTCATAAGTAGCTATTCTTATTTTCCACATTTTACACATCTTTTTTTTTTCAATTCAAGCAATAAATTACCATTATTTTTATTCTATTGAGTATTGACTGTGAGCTCCTAATTCTATATCCTGAGTGTAGTTTCTTTCAACAGTTAATCAATAATGTTGATTTTTATTTATTTATTTATTTTATTGTTTCTTTAAGAAGAATCCGCTTTCGGGAACAGGGAAGCCTCGGTGGGCTTTTTTGAATTGAGTGTTCTGACTCGAGCTTCAGCACCTCGACCCAAAACTCAGAGCTGAGTTCGAACCTATTTATAAGTTTGAGGGCTTGATAAGATTAAAAAATTAAGTCGAACTCGATGGAAACTCGATCCTGAGAAAATTCCTATTTTATTAGAATTATTCTATTAAAAAAATGAGTCGAACTCGAGCGAAATTCGAACTCATGAAATTTGAGTCGATTTTGACCATTTGTATAAGTATGCATATTAGTTCACCGAGTGAGACGAATTGACCTTCCTAATAAATACACTGCCTCGCCTAAGAATTTGTACAGTCAAAAAGCTATGAGCAGTAAAAAGATTACAGCCAAGTGCCAACCAACAAGAAGTTAGACCTGTAAAATGCAGATAAAAGTGGAGCAAAAAGGCCATCTACCGAAAAATGCATCCAATGCATGGGCAATAAGTCATTTATCTCCCATAATTAACCCATAAATTCTCAAAATATTATCAAGATTAGTCGAAGCTCCCCACACAAACGGCTCCATCAACAGCCTCGTCAAGAAGTAAAATATAATCAGATCATTTGTCAATTGTTAGACTAATGATCAGACCGTTGAAACTTTCAAATGACACTCTTTGATCAAAAATCAGATATCGATTATCGAAAAATTTGAATTGAATTTTTTTTCCTATGCACACATGCGCATACCTTGTTTGTCAATCAATTACCGACGAATCAATTTTCAGATATCGATAAGTCATACCTCATTTTATTTGTTTATCATGGTCTTTAAAAGCCTAAATCAATTTTAAAGATCGGTTTAAAATTAAATGTTAATTGGATTAATTTCCTTTTTTTGGCTGTTAGAATTTATAGAGGAGATAATATCAGTTTCATGTACCTTGTGGGACAATTTGTCAACTTTTACACTTATATAACAAACTTAAGTTTGACATCCTTTGGCAGGTTAAAAAAGTTTTTTCATTTCTTAATTTTTTCCTAAATTCAACTTGTTGATGCACAAACTTTTTTTAAAAAAACCTTATGAGTTATAACTAAACACATTCTAGAAGGGGTGAGCAAACCAAACCGAAAAACTCAGTTGAATCGTGCAATTCAATTTTGTTCGATTTGATTCTTTTAGTGTGTGAAATGATCGGTTCAGTTTTTTCCCTTTACTGCGGTGCGGTGCGATTAAATTAATATTTTCCACAAGTTCAAATATCTTTTTCTTTGTTCGGTGAGATTTTAACCAAATTGAACCAAATTAAATATAAATGCACAAAAAAAAGAGGAAAAACCGAAAGATGAGCCGATCGTGCATTTTAGTGCAGTTCATTTCGGTCGGTTTGTTTTCAATTCAATTTTTTCTATACAATTGTACCATTTATTTTGTTTGTTAAATTCACATTTTGGGTTCGGTGCATTTTTTCACTAAAACGTGTTGTTGTTCACGAAAAATACAACAATTACATGTAGTATACATAACACTCACATAGAATGAGGTTCATTTAATTTTTTATTTTTAGTCAGTCTCACTCAATGTAAGTGTTATGTACACTTCTATATACAATATTATTATCTATTTATAGCATTTCTCGTTGCTCACTGCACTGTGTTAAATAAAAGAGAAATGCTATAAGTAAAGAGATATCTATAAAATGCAAAAAATATTAAAATATTAAAAGTAAGGTATGTGAGTCGTCATCTAAACCCTCGACATTAATCTGCTGTTTTTGGTTCCTCCGACCATTTATCCTCTGCACATCTCGCGCTCTCTAATGGCCACCACTGTGCTAAAAACAACACCTGCCTTTTGCGCGCCGGCGGCGTACGCCGGCGCCTCCTCCGTCAAATCTCTATCTTCTACTCGCGTTTCCTTTTCATCCAATAGGTTTCCTGTAATTAGGTGTCGGATTTACAGCACAAGCTACAAGAGGAGTACTAGTAGTGTCAAGTTGCCTAGCCGCTCGGCAGCGAAACTCTTGACCTTCGCCGCCGATGGGGAAACTGCGGAGGCCCAAACGGAGACCCGAGAGAAAGACCCGGTTCCAGGATCCGAAGATGAGGTAGTTTTCCATGTCCACACCATTATGTTTTTTGATTTGGGTTTTCCTCCTCTTTTTTCGCTTGTCAAATTTCTAAAATAATCGAACCAAATATGTTGAACAAGAGAGCTTTCTTCTCGGGCATGTCACATTTGTTGTTGAAAATTTTCATTTCATCTTGTTTTATGTGACGGAGTAATGAGGCAGTTGATGCATTTGTGAGTATTATGTTTTTGGTTTGAGCTGGTATTTGGTGTGTTGGACGAATGTGAACTCTCCAGGGATTAGGATGAAGAGTTGTGAATTGAACTCTTGAAAGGCTGGTTACCTTATTATTTGGTGATGAACACGAGGGGTTTGTGTGATGGAATAGTAAGACAGTTGACGCATTTGTCAATGTTACGTTTTTTGGTGTGGGCTGGTACTTGATGTGTAGAAAAATGTCAATTCCAGAGTGATAATGATGAAGAGCTTGTGATATGAAATCTTGAATGGCTATTTACCTAATTATTCGGGGATAAACATTAGGGAAAGTAATACGAGTAAAAAAAAATGTTTCTTTTGTATAATGGAGCAAAAGTATTTTGATATTTGTTAAGAAAACGGTCTACTGTATTTTCCATTTCGTATCAAAATAACAATTTCGTGTGAGTGATGAGCTTTGAAGGTGTACTGAATAAAAAAAGTGCTACATTTCAGTGACTGAAAGCAAAGTTGCATTCATCGTCAATATATTTTGAACATGCAAAATCTTGCATAAAACATGACTATTGGTTGCGGAGTCTCGCGTGCAGCTTAGGTGACTATGATAATCTTGGGCATGTGAAATCATTTTAAGTGATTGGGTTCTTGAAATGTAATTTAGGTCATTTTCCAACTTCATCATTGTCTCAGTTCCACATGCGGTCTCTTTTTCCTTCTGTTCTTTCTATGGCTTGTTTATCCTTTTTGGTACATTATGTCAGTATCTCTTAAGTCCATTAAAATATAGGACGGGAAGCAGTAGATTATAGAAAATGTATTTATCTACTGTTGAAAACATCTTACACGGTTCAGCTGATCAAGTCGTGAGCTGTCATTCTGCTAGCACGTAGAGGAAATGAGAAAAACCTTGCCTCAGTCTCATCTATACGAACTCCAGTGCATGCAAACTATTGTAACAAGATAATGATTCAAGTGAAAGATGGCGCTCTCTATTCATTATCATAATAGTCTACTTTCCGGTGCTCCTCGTGTTCTCATGAACCAAGCTGAGAATGGGGAAAACCAATTAATTGTGGTAAATAGATTGTATTAGCAGTGATTATATACCATCTTAAACTTAAATTTCTATAAAATTAAATTAAAAAAAATTATGTGTTGATGGTTGCCATCATTTCATAAATTGAGTGGAAATCTCTCTCTATCTCAAGTTGGTAAGGTTGTGTTAAAGCGTATCTACTTTAATGCTCTACTTTTACTTATATCACAGTGCCCTTAAATCACAGTGCCCTTACAGATATATACTGAAATCCATTTCATCTTAAGTTTCTATTCAAAACGGCAGTGCCCTTACAGATATATACTTTTAAGTTTCTATTCAAAATGGCATGACTGCTTTAGAGTGTCTGTGGATTAGATATCTTGATTTTGGGGAGCTCCAGAACATTCAGGCACAAAATTACTCAATTGCTTTAGGAACCAGATTTGGGTCCCATCTATACCATAATTTACATTTCTTTTTATATATATTCAGGAGACGGCAGATGGCACAATTGACAATGATTCTTATAGTGGGAGTGAAGATCCAGTTCCCGAAGAACATAGCTCTGTGGTGATAGCTTTAAATCTATACAAAGAGGCTCTAGCAAATAACGACGACTCAAAAATCACCGAAGTAGAATCGTCTCTCAAAACCATTGAAGACGAAAAAATCGATCTTGAGAGCAAGGTGGCCCAATTAACCGAAGAACTTTCGTACGAGACTTCCCGAGTCCTTAGGATCAGTGCCGACTTTGACAATTTCCGCAAGAGGACAGAGGGGCAACGTCGTTCACTTATCTCGAACGCGCAAGGAGAAGTTGTGGAGAGTCTTCTGCCCGTTTTGGATAATTTCGAGAGAGCCAAAGCTCAGATAAAAGTGGAAACCGAAGGGGAGGAAAAAGTCAACAACAGTTACCAGAGTATATACAAGCAGTTTGTGGAGATTCTGGGTTCCCTTGGCGTGGTCCCTGTTGGGTCAGTGGGAAGACAATTTGATCCCATGGTATGTTTTTTTATATTCTTGTTTATGGCATTTTTTTGTGTTGAAGATTTGATTATTCAAGGGCAGAGGTTTTCTGAAATGTAGAATCCTGATGGCCATTCTATTTAAGGTTTGTTATCTGGTCGTTGGTTGAATGCAGGTAAGCTCCCGAGTTGGCTCAAAATTCAGTCGAGTAATAGGTGAACTCTTTGAAAAGCTGTATAAAGTTTATTCAGGTTTTACGAGGACCTGGATACGCTTTTAACTCGAGTTAATTCTCTATTATTCGAGCCAACTCGGTGAGTTTATTGAGGAGAGAACGGTATGGCATCTTAAATCTTGTGGGAGAATTTGAAGCTCGGTTGATGAGCATCTATTTTCTTAATGGTTGTAATTTTTTGGTTATCATGTGTTCTGTGGCCTAAGAATGCTATTGGATATTAATTGCTCCTAATAAATGTTGAGTGAGTGTAAAAACTAAATTACACATGCAGAAGCACACACTGAGGTTCACTTATGGCCTTATGCTTGAAACAAAAGTTTAGTGTTTTCCAATGTGAACGTTGCTTTTAGATTTATTATTTAACTTGGGATTTCATATTCCATTTCACAGGTTTACTACTTCCATAACTTTCTATGCCTTTTATAGCTTCTATTTGCAAACATTACTAGTTTTTGGTTCTCAACTATTTTTCTTTTCTGCTATGATAACAAGTCCCTTTTACACCTAGTTTGTAACATAAACTTTTGATCTGTCTTGGTAAAAGCTGCACGAAGCTATAATGCGTGAAGATTCGACCGAATACGAAGATGGTGTTGTTATTGAAGAATATAGGAAAGGGTTTCAACTTGGTGAAAGACTGTTGCGCCCATCAATGGTGAAGGTTTCAGCTGGGCCCGGCCCCGCAAAGCCCGAGAATGGTGGCCCAGAGCAATCTCAAGAGGAAGCCAATGAGAACAACGATCAAGAAGGCAGGCCAGAAACCGAAGCTGCCTGATCATTAGTCATCAATCTCCTGATATGAAGTCATTTTTTTTTTTTTTAANTCCAAAAAAAAAAATATATATATATATATTGGTAGAGAATTGTGGGATTTGTTTTGGATATCTTGGTGGATTACTCGATTAGGGTGTGCTAAGGCATCGAAGAACAGATTTTTCATCTCATTCATTTTTAATTTCATGTTGTAGCGAGCATTTCTATGTGAGGTACAGTTTGTTCCTAACTGAATTCTCAGTTGTTAGATGCCGGACTTTGATAAAAAAAAGTTTGTTGCGTCTTTATTTATTCATATATATCTATATATATATAATTGCTGGCTCATGAACATTTAATAAAATTTATTAAATTATACTTATGTAGCAAAATAACAATTTCTCTCCAAAAATCGTTATTTTTTTATTTATTTAACCTTTCATTTAATTATTAGATAATCAACACACTAATCACTTCAAAATTACAAAAATCATTTTAAACTTTTGATTTACTTATAGTTGATCATTTTATAGTTATATAGTTGACCATATAATGTGTTGACTATTTAACGTGATTAGATATTATTGTTGTGGTTACATTTAAATTAACTTCTTTTGGAAAATAAAAAACGTATTTGAAATTCTTAAATAATTCACAAAAAAAAAATAAAAAAAAATACATACTAAAATATACATTACATCCAATATGATAAACGCAATTTAAAAAAATAAATGTTTCAGCTCCTTTAATTGTAAATTTGGCCTGCAAAAAAGTGAAAGAAAAATCATTATTCATTATATGCATACAAATAACTCACAATACTTTATTTATATTTGTGCAAATGCACAGGTGGAATACTAGTGTATATCAAATTACAATTAGGTATTTATTTATCTATCTCAAATGAAGAATGTAACACCTTAAATTTTTGTCTATATGGCGTTACTTCTATTAATGTGGCATTTTGATTTCTTAACTTAAAATGAAGCAGAAACTTACGGTAGCGAATCCAACACACAAATTCCCTAACATCGTTGAGAGAACGGAAGAATATTTATCTGCAACATATTGAAAGCTTGATGGTTTCCCTACAAAAAAAATCGTTATATTCCAACGAAAAATCCTATAGTAAGATATTTCAATGGAAATTTCAACGGATATTTCAATGGTATAGCTTCCATTGGAATGTGTTTTTCATAGAAATTTTAGATGGAATTTTCTGATTTCAACGGCTATATTTCTTTTACCGTAGGAATTTCTATTGAAATTTTTATTTCCATCTCTATTGGAAAATCTACCGTTGGAATAATCAAAATCCAACGAAAGTTCCAATGGAAAAACTCGTTCCAATGGAATATTTTAGTTGAAATTTTCGTTGGAAAATTCCAACGAGAATAATAGCATTGAAAAATGTCCACTGTAATTGCCGTTGGAATTCTATTTGAATATATTTCCGTTGGAATGAGTTTTTTCATTAGAACTTCCGTTGGATTTTGATCATTTCAACGGTAGATTTTCCAACGGAATTTCGTAATTTTCTTGTAGTGTCGTTACGGATATAATTTATAAAAAAATAATCATATTTTTTAAGTAACAAAAAAAAACTAATATTTTTATTGTTTTTATTCTTCAAGTATAAATTTAAATTTCTACTTGAAGAATAATTAAAATAATAAAAATATAAGTTTTTTTAATTAATACTTGTACATCTCATGGATGTTGTATTGTTGAATAACATTTATTTGGCAGTTAAAACAAATTTATTGCTTTTCAAGGGGGACCATGGAAAATAAAAATAATAGCAAACGTTGTTAATTAGTAAAAAATACAAAAGTTGATATTATTTAGGTAGTAAAATAGTAAACCCATATTATTTTATAAAAATAGTTATACTTATCAAAAAATCTATGAGCAATTAGCAGTTGATTTCTTGCATAATGAACAAATTTGTAGGTGCTTTTTGGAAAACTATGCAGTCATGCAGATTTTGGTGGCACACCATTATGAATCGATAAAGATAGTAGATGACATGACATAATAATGCACACATCACCATATATTTGAATTTTTCTTATGTATTATTTTATTTTAATATCTGCATTTAGAAAACATGTGTTTAACAGTATTGTGAATCACGAGACTTTAGAAACATTCTTTTATTGTTTAGTATCGCTAATAATTTTTCACGTGCAGTTCTCAAAGTCTTCTACTGGTAGGAAGCTTTTCCGAGACAGAGATTATGAATAAAGCCATATTCAGAACTATAATAATATATAAATACGCGTTATATTATTACAAGTACAATCCCGCAATCAGGAGAGATTATCTTTCAATAGTATCATATTTAATAATTGAAAATTTAAATTATGTAAATTTAATTACACAATTGAAAGTAGATAATCAACGTCAACACTGCATATTATCATATCAAACACAATTCAATTACATGAATAGACAACTTTTATCTGTGTAAACTAGTCGAGTTAAACTCGAACTCATGATGCTCAAGTTTGAATTCAAACTCAATTTATTTATGAATATTAACAAGTTAAACCTATAGAATATTGCATAAAAAAATATATTTTTAAACCTTTAAGTCATTAAAGAAATGAATTTTCAATAAATTTGTTATATAAAAGTTCATGTTTTAAAGCCACCAGTTGTTAACCAAATCTAAATAAGTTTTAAACGAACTCATGTTAAACCATGTTTACGTACAATTCATTTCTTTTGATAATTTTTAATGACCTCGAGTTCGATTTATTTACCAAATGAGTTGAACCGAACACACAGAACGACTAGTTCCGTAGGTTTATGTCTTATTTAATTCCTTTGTTATTTACATTTTCAAATTATAAGTGTGTCTTAATTTTAAATATCTATTGCATGTGTGTGGGGTGGACCAGGCTACGTGGCGGTTCATTTTTTTTCCCAACGTGGCGGTTCATTAGTGTATCGCTTTTGCAATATATTCCTGAAAAGAATTACTTGTTAAATTGTGAGCCATTCATGGCACCAAACCAAACTCTTGAAGTTGCTGTTTTTTGCCAGCCTTTTTTATTTTTTTTTTTGATGATTTTTGAGTAATTTGTTCACACGTATTTCCTCTTTGAGGGTTTAACTCTACAGACTGGTAGCTGCACATATAAATCAATAAATTGTATAGGAAAAAGAAATATTTTGATACTCAAAAACCCTTTGCTGAGAGAGGCCATCTTTTTCAGGTTCTCCTTCATGAAATCCTGAAAGCTCAATTAGGGTCTTGATTTGCAGAGGAATAACTCAGTTTTTTCCTCTCTACATGTCTCTCTCTTTCTCTCTATATCTATCTCTGTGTGTGTGTTGTGTGTGTGTGATTCTCCCATATATCAGTGTGTGTGTGTCAGTGTGTGTGTGTGTGTGATTCTCTCATATTTTTTATTGATTTTTTATTTTTTATTTTTGAAATTTTGTAGGCAAAATTCTGTGCATCTCTATACATATCGTTTTAAATCTAGTTGGTGTATGTGTGCGTTTGAGACTTTGAGTTATATCCGTGTGTGTAAAAAATTTAACATTGACGAAAAATTATTGTAAAATTGAGGTATATTTGGGTTCTTGAAAGCGAAAAGAGTGGAGCTTTATTTCCTGTTAACATCTTCATTTGAAGAATATGGTGTTTGTTTGCTAGATTAATTGGCCCTTTTCACTATTTCCATGGCAACCCTTTAATTAATTAATTGTTCTGTTTTTTCGTGGGTTTTGTTGTCATTTTAGTTTCAGACATGAGTGGTGAATTGCAAGAGAGGCTGCTTGGTCAAGAAACAGAGCAAAGGGCAAATTTGAAGGTGAAAGTTTGTGAGGAATCCAAGAAAATATGGAGAGTTGCTCTGCCCAGTGTGATTTCTCGAGTCAGCTCTTTCGGTTGTGTCGTTATCACACAGTCATTTATGGGGCACATGAGCGCGGTTGATCTTGCCGGTTTTGCCCTCGTCCAGACATTAGGTGTTCGGTTCGTGAACGGAGTTTTGGTAAAAATAATAATTCCTTTGTCTATGAATATGTGTATGTGTGTCTTCATGTAGTTTGGAATTAAGATAACTTGTCTTTTTGTGCTACTTTTTCGATTTTATGTGCACGATATGTTGTGATTTTTCATATTATCTGTTATGAACCAGGAACAAAAAGGTGAACATTCACTACAATATGCTTCGAATTTGTCTCTAGCTAAACTTAGTTTGAACCTTTTATTTAGTTATCTGTAAGTACATCTCCTTTAATTCGAACTGTTTGCTTATTGCTCGAGATGACGTTCACACGTATTCAGATAGAAATGTTTGGAAAATTTTGAAGTTATTGTCCGATTTTGGGCGATNCAGATAGGAATGTCGAGTGCAACCGAAACCCTCTGTGGCCAGGCATACGGAGCCAAACAATACCATATGATGGGAATCTTCCTGCAACGTTCTTGGCTAGTCGACCTCGTTACACTAACCGTACTTCTACCTCTTTTCTTCCTGGGGACTCAAATTTTCGAGCTGCTCGGTGAAGAAAAAGCCATAGCCGAGTCAGCTGGCTACATTTCCCTGTGGTTCATCCCCTACTGCTATGCCCTCGTTTTCAACCTCACGATCCAAATGTATCTGCAGGCCCAGCAGAAGAACTTGATAGTTGCTTACCTCTCGATTACGCAGTTTGTGGTGCAAATTCCTTTGTCGTGGGCTTTTGTGAATCTTCTTGGATGGGGTGTTACTGGGGCCATGGGTTCACTTTGCATCTCGGCTTGGCTTGTCGTGCTTGGCGAGTTTGTATATGTTTTTGGGGGTTGGTGTGAAGATTCGTGGAAGGGTTTTAGGAGAGCGGCTTTGAAGGATATTTTTCCGGTAGTGAAGCTCTCGATTTCTTCCGGTCTCATGATTTGGTAGGTCATTTCTTAGCTACGATTTTTTTTTTTGGGAAAAATTTAATATTTTAATGACACCGTAAAATCTCTTAACCCTTCGAATTGAAATTAAACCTTTTATTGTCTGCTTTGATTTATATATATATTTGATTAAATTATTTTCGATTTGTTTTTAAGTATGTGATATCTAGTGAACGCAGGATGAGTTCAAAAGATGAGATGGAAAGGAGTTGGAATTTATTTTATGTTTGTTTTTCGCTATCGTTCTTGAAAGTCGTGTTTTTTTGAGAAACTTGGTTGATTTGGGCCAGAACTAAAAGTAGGCTGGTATTTTTTGGAGAAGAATTATGATGTATTCTTTTCGAATAAGAATAATATGTGCTGGGGATAAAAGACTTGAATTTGCTGGATAATTGTTTTATTTTGAATATCATGTTCGAAAACTAGCCCGTTTTAGACATTAACTCAAGAGCAGGTAACATCTGCCTATAACAATGACTATGAATACACATTTGCACTTTTATGTCATTGAGGCTTCTTTTTAATCGATTTGGATTTTATTTTTATAGCTTGGAGATGTGGTACAACGCCATTCTGGTCTTAGTAGCCGGTTACATGAAAAATGCCGAGGTTGCAATATCCGCTTTCTCTATTTGGTAAGTTCGCTATGTACGATTTTCATATATATATATATATATATTTTTTTTTTATCTTGCTACCAGTTTTAAGTCTCAAATTAAAAAAAATAATAATATATATTTGCAGCCTTAACATACATGGATGGGAATTCATGATATGCTTAGGCATTCTTGGCGCCGCATGGTAAGCTCTCATCTTATCTCAAATATCCCTTTTTAACGAAAACTCAAAAAATGTTTCCTCTATCAGATCAATATTAATTAATTTATTTATTTATTTTTTGTGTGTAGTGTTCGTGTAGCGAACGAGCTAGGACGAGGGGACGCAAATGCTGTAAAATTCTCGATCAATGTTCTTCTTACTACTTCTGTTGTGATAGGGGTCTTTTTTTGGATCCTTTGCTTAGTCTTCGGCAATAAGCTCGGCTACTTATTCACTGATGATGAGGCAGTCGTGGAAAGCGTATCTGATCTCTCGGTTCTGCTTGCTTTCTCGGTTTTGTTCAACAGCATTTATCCGATTTTCTCGGGTTTTCTTCTTCTTCTTGATTTTCTTTTCCGTGATTATAATATTTCATTTTCGAGCTTCCTAATGTCCGCGTAACTTACACTAATGATGATTGTGATCTGCAGTTTCGTATTTTCATTTATTTTATTTTTGTTCGATAGGTGTGGCTGTTGGGGCCGGCATGCAAGCAATGGTTGCTGTTGTGAACATTGTGTGTTACTATGCGATTGGGCTACCGGTTGGGCTTGTGCTCGGGTATCTTGTCGGGCTCCAAGTAAAGGTAAGTGAACCAGTCGTCGACATTTCAAGAATTTAGTTGTTTTTTTTTTTTGGGAATTTATTTTAGGACTGTTGTGTGATACTTTTGGGAGTAAGATATGATATCATCAAGTCCCTATAAGGGGTGATTGGAGGTAAAGGGTGTGATTGGATATAAATCATAACAAAAAAATTTCAACCCCAACTCGAATTTAATTCAATTTTAACCCAATTTCACTATCGTCAATATTATCATATAATTAAATAATTTGATGTTCATCAACGTCAATATTATCATATAATTAAATAATTTGATGTTCATCAACTCACGTGATTTTAACTAACAACCACTTCCAATCACGTTTCACTCACTTTTACATCAAATCAATTTTAATTATTTTAATAATAACTCAATCAAACCCAATTCTAACGACTTTTTTTAAATTAGCTATGGTCAACAGAAAAACCAATGAAAAGTTGAAAACTCAATCAAGTCTATAACCAATAACCCTCAAAATATTTTTGTTTTGATTGGACATATTCGTAAAGTGAAGTAATTTTGAAAAATGTTGATAGAGAGGAGGTTTAAGTAGGATTTTGAGTTTGTATTTAAATAATATTTAATATGTAATGATTAATGTTGATGTGATATAAAAGTAGGAGACAGATTATTGGAAATGATAGGTAGTCCAATTTATTGAGTTGATTAATAGTGAATTAAAGTTATGTGATGATTGATTGGTAATATTTAATTGTATTGATAATATTGAGAATAATTGTGTTGGATTAATTTTCAGTTAAAAAGTTTGTTAAAAAAGAAAATTATGTCCAATCACGCCGTTAGAAATTTCAGTTAATTGGAGTTTGATTTTGTGATATGAACAGGGCCTATGGATTGGGATGCTTTCTGGTGTTATCTGTGAGACCTTTGTGCTCAGCTTCATAATGTGGAGGATTAACTGGGATGATGAGGTAACAATTCTTCTTCTTCTTCTTCTTCTCCTTGGAAATTAAATGATATGAAAATAAAATTTATATTTTTAGGGGAATTCCAACGACAAATTCTGCTGTTAGGCTCGTTGAACTGTTCGACAGCCACACCTTTTCAAATTAAAATGTCATACTTTAAAAAACATCGATATTTTTTAATATACGTATGCATTTTTTTGTAAGTTACAACTCCGATTGTTGACAAGATATTTGTAATAATATCGTGCAGGTTGTAAAAGCATCTACTCGCCTCAAAAAGTGGTACCTAAAATCTCCTGATGAGGCCAACACAAAACCTGATTTGGCCTGATTTTGAAGCAATTTGGGACTTGATACAATTTTTTTGTGACATTCTAATTAATATTGTGATGGTATAATTAGGAGCTCAAGGACAGTTTTATTGGGTTTTAATTTGGTTATTTTTTAATGGTCAATTAGTTCATGCTTTATGGCATGCTGGGGATTGTGGTGATGTTTTGTGACGAAAATATGTAATATTTTGCGGATGACTTTGAGCTCTAATAAAGGCCACATTTAGACTTTAGTTAATTGCTTTCGCTTCTACTAGGATAGATAAATTAAGTTGTAATTCAAACTTTTATACTTAAAAAGTTTTATTTCAATTTCTATATAGTCATTTAAAGTTGCATTTTATTTTAATTGAAAATGGCACTCATCACTCAATTGTTATTATGTTAAGAATAAAATCACATCATGCAATAGGATTGGTAGATAAATTTATTTATTTTATGAATAATAATTTGTTACTTTTTCAATTTTAATCTTAGTTAATTTAATTTTTTATTTTTAAAGCCAGATATAATATGTTAATTTATGCAATATGAATTTTACATCACAAAAGATGATAAATTTAATAGGAAAACAAAAAAATATTAAATTTTAAAATATATTTATGTATTAATTTGATAAAATACTATATAATTTTAAACACGAATAAAGGTTCAAATCTAACTTGAAATATATCAAAGCACGTGAATTTGACATTACTTTTTTTTGAAGTACGTGAAAATTATGTATTTAAATATGGAGGAACTATATTGGCATACAATGCTATTAAAATCTTTTATTATTAGTTGTTCAAGTGAAAATACTTCATTTTCATCTTATTAATAATTAATTCATAGAGAACATCAGAATAAGGTAAATATGGGGCAATTACTTCAACATTTTATTCATTACTAACTCTTTCTTCATTTTCAGTCATAGTTTTTATTTAATTTAGAGTAAACTAGTTAGTGATATTATGCACTGTGATAAAAATAATTCTTTATTATTATCAACCATAATTTCAATTATTGTTTTATCAATCCAGAATAAAGTATGTACCATTACCAAGAGTATGATATTATAAAAATTTATGGAGTACTAAAATAAAATTCAGCATAAATATATTTATTTGTTCCAATAAATTTACAAATATTAACACTGATATTTTAGATCCGAATACCCGAACATTGCTTATGTTTGCTTTCTAAGATGAAATTGGACAAAAATAGTACTAACATGAAGGATTGTACTATTTAAATAAATTTAATGCCATGTTTGTTATGTATGAGATAAGAGCATCTCTAATAACCCTCTTCCACAAACCTCCTTTATCTATTCCTAATATACCACATCATCCAAAACCTCATTTTTACTCCTACACATATAAACCTCCAATAATAACAAACCTTATAAATCTTTTTTTATGGGTCCCACATGTTTCTCACTTATTTTTATAATTAATATTATACTCTTATTTTTAATTAATATTTTAAAACTATAACATCAATTTTATTTTTATATAATTTAAAGGTTTCACATATTTATTATAAATACATACCAAAATAATAATATAATTATATGTAACTATATTGCACTATTTATGAATTGTGTCAATTTTTATAATTAAAGTAAAACATATTTTCTAATAATATGAAACATTAAATATTAATTATTTATGATTTTTTTCAAAAAGAAGAATGAAATTTAAAAAAAAATTATTTGTCTTTCTATTGTTGGAATGATTTAATATTTAAATTGCTACTACAAAAAATAAGAAGCAAAAGAAAAAATAGAAAGAAGAATCAAAGGAAATGAAGCAAGCACATGTCGTGGCAGGTGGTGAGCCAATAAAAATACAATTTTGGAGGTTTAATGGAGGTTTGTACAGACAAACCTACTTTATGTCCACAAACCTTAAACCTATACCTTATAATAGAAAACCTCAAGGTTTGTATTTATAAACCTCACTCAAAACCCATTATTAGAGTTGTGTTAAGAAAGAGATAACTTTAACTTTTTTAAAAGATTTTGATTTTTTTTTTTTTATTAAAATTAGCACAAATCAAGTAAAATGGTTCAAAAGACATTTTTACCCCTATGAAATTTATCCGCACAAAACCCATCATTTTTCCGCAATTTCCCCAGGAGCTGTCGTCTTCTTCACTATCGGCGATACTCCAACGAATCCAGCACACTGGCCGACCACCAAGGCATCGGGTTATCTTCTACGGTTGGAAGACAGTTCGACCAACCCACCTTGGTTCTCCCGACCTTCGGACAACCAGCGAGGCGTCGATTTTTTGTTCCCTCCGCCCCTCCGTCTCCGATTTCGTCGCCGACCACCGGCGCGCTCGACTGAAAGAACCGGCGCCTCTCGTTGGCCGCTACTCGGAGGCCCCATCAGCAATTCCGGTAACGATATGTAGTAATGCTGTCGCTGGAATCCAATTTAGCATGAACATTTTGAAACACATCTTGTCGATTTGATTAGCTTCCTAGCTGTATGTGTTTGTGGGTTGTTGTTCAGTTCCTCTCAAGAAATTAGCTTCATTATAGTTGAGCTGATCGCGTTTAGTTTAATGATTTATTTATTTATTTTTTCAATTTATGGCGTGGTTATGGCGATTTTCTTCCCCCTTTCTCTGTGTACGTGATTGATGCGCTTCATTCAGGTTTCTTCTGGCTGTTATCATTGCTTAATGTTGTCATGTTCATGTCCCCTTCCCTAATTCTCTCTCCGTGCCTCAGCTTCCTTTCCTCTTCTTTGATGGCTCCACACCCTTTTCTTACTGCTCTAATTTGAAGTGCCAATTGAAGCTGCCTCGAAGTTCATCTGCTAATATGATTTACTAATAATAGCGATAAGCAATCTCAGAAATCCACTGTTAGTTCACCGATCATGTGTTGGGGGTGATTTAGGATGTCTTGAATAGAATATGTGTGTGTGTGTGTGTGTGTTTTGTATGCGGTTGTGGATTGCCTTAATTTTGGCTTATCAATTGTGTTTAAGTACATCTATGTGTTAGACCTTTGGAACAAAGAGGTTGTGTTGGTCTCTTAGCCTATTTGCTTAATGTGCGTAGTAAGAAGTTTGTGGATGACAGTACCCTTTTCCCTTCTAAACATCAGTTTAAAACAGGATCAGTTTCGTTGTTCTCGGCATCTAAAACCAGAGATAAAATGAGCGATCGGGAAAGGCTTAGAATATTGATGGTGTCCGACTTTTTCTTCCCTAACTTTGGTGGCGTGGAGAATCACATCTATTACCTATCACAATGCTTGATGAAACTTGGCCACAAGGTTAGACAGTTAACACAGTTAAATTTTTCAAAATTTTACTGCTGCTTTTATTGTCAATCCGCCCTGAAATAAGTGTTTTTTTTTTAACACTTATTATAGGTTGTTGTCATGACACACGCTTACAATAATCGTTCGGGGGTCAGGTACATGACCGGTGGCTTGAAAGTCTACTACGTACCATGGAAACCATTTCTCATGCAGAACACACTGCCCACATTTTACGGGACACTTCCAATCGTGAGAACAATCATAATTCGAGAAAGGATATCATTGGTGCACGGGCATCAAGCCTTTTCAACTTTATGCCATGAGGCCTTAATGCACGCGCGCACAATGGGATTCAAAGTCGTGTTTACCGATCATTCCCTTTATGGTTTTGCTGATGTGGGAAGTATTCACATGAACAAGGTCCTGCAGTTTACGCTGGCAGACGTGACCCAGGCCATATGCGTATCACATATGAGCAAGGAAAACACAGTTCTTAGGTCTGGACTTCCACCTGAGAAAGTTTTTGTTATTCCGAATGCTGTGGACACGGCCATGTTCAAGCCTGCTCGAGAGAGAATTAGTGGTGATGAGGTCGTTATAGTTGTGATAAGTCGGTTAGTTTACCGTAAAGGGGTGGATCTTCTTGTTGAGGTCATCCCTGAAGTGTGTCGATTGCATCCAGATGTAAGTATCTTATTTATTTTTTCTCTGGGCACTTTAAGAATTGTGCTAGTGCAGTGGGACCTGAGTTTTAGATTGTTGATTCTGTTTTGGGGTACATTATATAGCTATATGTGACCATTTTCACTGTATAAACTCATTTTATTTTTTGTCTCATGCTGATGGGCTTATGCTATTAAAGGTACGGTTTATTATTGGTGGAGATGGGCCTAAGAAAGTGCGGTTGGATGAGATGAGGGAAAAGCATTCTCTTCAAGACAAAGTTGATATGTTGGGTGCTGTGCCACATGCTGAAGTTCAGTCGGTTTTGGTGAAGGGACACATCTTCTTGAACAGGTTTTTTAAAAGTCTCTATAGCTAATATGGTTTAGTTTATTCAAATCCTGTTTTAGACGTCTAGAAATCTGTTTTATATCTTATCCTATTCATTCATGCACTGAGCATACTTTGTTTGATTGTCTATACAAGGAATGAAGAAGGGAGTTGGGCCAACAAATTTTTCATGAATGATCATCCTTTTGAAATCTTGAATTGAGAATGTAGTCATCCTATAGACATTTTATCAAATCCATTTTCCAGCCATTTCTAGTGATGGCCATGTGAAGTCCTTCACAGTGAAAAGATACAACATTAGAAAAGTACAACTAAGTAGTTTCGGTGAAAGTAGAATGAAAATAAACCGAAATCATCTCTTTTTCAGCTATAAGTAAATGTTGTATTGCTACAGCATTTTTGGTTGTTATGCATATCAAATGAGCTGTCAGCGTATGAGAAGAAGCTTATAGATTACATAACTTTTTAAAAAAGATCACTGTCTTTCTGTCTTTACAGTTCCTTAACAGAAGCATTCTGTATAGCCATATTGGAAGCTGCTAGTTGTGGGTTATTAACCGTCAGCACCCGTGTTGGTGGTGTCCCTGAGGTATGGCCATATGATTATTTTCAGTTTGTCAACTCTAAACACTTCTATAAAAAATGTATAGTTACGTCCTGGTTCATGAAAAGCCAACATTTATCTTGATAGGTTCTTCCAGATGATATGATTGTTCTTTCAGAGCCTGATCCTAGTGACATGGTGCTGGCAATAATGAAAGCAATACGCTTGCTTCCCCAGATTGATCCACAGGCAATGCACGATCGTGTGAGTTTTTTTGTCACATATCACAAGGAAAATACTCGAGCTCCAGTTTTGTTAGTGTTTCTCTATAGAATCAGCACCACATTAATTATTAGGCTCAAATTATCAGAAATTTCTTCAACCAGGTACAAGGAGACGTGAAATTGTCTTTGCTGGCATAAAAGTTCATACTGACATCTTTATCATACTAAAGGGGTTTTATATGCTTATGCAGCTTTGTGTACACATTTCTGGATTTATTAAGCATAAATACCTGCCCAAGGTTATTGTTGCATATGCATACACAACTTTATCAGTTTTTGTAATTTCTTGTGTTATTAATCTTGAATCACAAGGGTAAAATAATTCTGACAGATGACAGTTGTATGAATATTTAAACATATTATTATTGTTGTTGTTGAATATGCTATAAGGTATCACTGATTCTGTTGACTTTATTGGGAGGTTCGAATTGAGATTGTCGTCATAATGTGGACTGTGAAAGATTTAGTTCCACTATATTCCATGTCCCATATGGTTATAATATGTATACTTTTGTGCAAAACTTGCCACTAAACGTAACATATGCTTTTGAAAAATGGTAACCTTATTTAGTTCCTTAATTCCTCTACAGATGAAAAAACTCTATAGTTGGCATGATGTGGCCAAGAGGACAGAGATTGTGTATAACCGTGCTTTGAAGTGTTCCAATCAGACTCTTGTTGAACGTCTGCCCAGGTACATTTATGGGAGACATGTCATCTGAAAGTTTATTAAGCATGTAGGGTCAAGCATGTATATGTGATTGAACTTTGAAACATGGATATATATGTATTTGATGTAAGACATGGGAATATATGATTCATATTAATTTTTTGCTGCACCAGTGAGTGATGCTGGGTTTCTCAATTCACCTTTTCCTTTTCCTTTTTTTTTTTTCAATATATTTATAGGTACCTCACTTGCGGTGCTTGGGCAGGCAAGCTCTTTTGCTTGGTCATGATAGTCGATTTCTTGTTCTGGCGTCTCTTGCAATTCTTGAAGGTGCTTATTTAGTACTTTCTTATAAAATATCGTATTTTCAACTTTGCTCCCATAACTATTACCACGAGTTAATTACCAAACACGTAAAAAATTGTCGTCATATTATTTTCTTTTGAAAGCCCGATAGCGACATCGAGGTTGTTCCGGATATTAGTCTCAGAAGTCCTCAAAATAAGGAAGTGAATGTGGAGGGCTTCGAGTTCGAGCGCGGATGATAAATACCAGTAAGTTGCTGGTTTGATGTGCTGGAAAGATTTTGGTCGGAATTTTGTTCTTGGGAGTTGGTTTTATTACTTTATAAGCATCCAATGTACACATCACACTTTTTCATTTACTTAAAAATAGTTTTAATTCTTNTTTTGTGCTCATTTTTATTTTTTGGCGTTTATCTCTAAATCAAGGAATAAAAAACATATGTTGACTGGTCCACATTTGAATGTAAATGTTTCATTGTCCCCAGATACCTGGGAAACATAAGTTATCCTTAACTGTATTATCTGTTATTAATTTTTGTTTTGGCATTTTTATTCGTTGAATAATTCACTTCCAGACACACACACACACACACACACACACACTTAGGTATATATTGTAAAACCAATTTTGTATTTATTCAAAATTTAAATACTAATTATTCATGATCGTAGTTATATAATCTCTTAATTATGTGTGCTTCCTCAGAATTTATTAGAACACTGCTAAAGGAACTCGAGAAAATTCAGAGGCTTCATTCACTGCGTAAGTATCATGCACTGTATGTGTTTTTTCTTTCTTTTATTTTGTGTTATTTATCTATTTATTTGGTTTTCATCACTATATTCAGAACTAATTAGTCCAAAGGATTGGAGTTTTGATGATCAAATTTTGTAAAACAAAAGTTTGTGATGATTTTTATCAACATATTAATGAGGAATCAAGTTATTTTTTCCCCCACGCATGCATGGTGGTGTGTATTAAAAAAAACTGTGTGATGTTATTTCCTTTGTGAGGGGTAGTGCAAGCGGAAGTAATTTACATCAATTGCAATTTAAGCACCATTTTTCAATATTGACAATTTAAGCGCGACTTTATAATTTTGCAAGTTAAGGCATAGATCTAGATCTTGGTAACCGGTGAATAATGTGTCCGTCAATATTTTTAGATATGGCCTGCTCTATAAATGAAAAAATGATTTCAATTCATCTATTATACCAGATAGCATGCAGAAATTCGAGATGTACAACACCGATGGATCTAGGCTGAAGTACCGGTGCATTTACTCCATTTATGGAGGCCTTAGGATCTATAGTTTGAGCGGAAGATATAAGATCTAACCCAGTGTGTTTTAGGATTTGTAGCCACCAGTGTGTTTTAGAATTTGTGGCTACAGTTGTGTGGAGCTTCAGTTGAAATTTGAGTTTTCTTATCATCATTGATGAGATTCAGTTGAAATTTGAGTTTCTTATCTCGATTGATGAGATGGTGCTCGAGGAAACATAATTGAGTGTTGGTCAAACTTTGATATTGTATAACTTACGTCCGAAAGTTGTGATAGGTGATGGTTTTTGGTTGCTCTTTTAGTTTGCAGACAGTACAGTAATTGTAGTTCTCCATTCATTCCTTAATTTGTAAAAAATGAAAAGTCGTGCTTTAAAATGTCAAAATTAGAAAGTTGTGCTTAAATTCTTTGTTTTGTAAATAAGCCTATTTAATATCATAATATGCAATAATGTTGAAAGCATCGCTATTATTCTATATCTATACACCGAGTTACATTCAACCACTATATATATACTGCGCAACAGTGTTTTTCAGATCGGGTAGCAAGGGACCCAATCAAACTCGGTGGACCCGGGTATTGACTTGGCCGGATCAGCATGGTTTGACCTGATGGTTAATTTTTGTTTACCTTTTTAGTTTTAAAAATAAAATTATATATATATATATATATTTATGATAAAATATAATATTATTAAGACCTTAAAGTATAAATTTACATATATATAAATTATTTTTATTATTTTATGTATTATTATTAAAAATGATATAAATCTAATTTAAAAATTTATAGAATTAATTACCTCGTTAAGAAATGACCCAGTCACCAGAGTCGGTCCGGAATTTAAAACTATGTTGCGCAGGTCGTCTTTGAATAGTTTATTACTTTGTGTTGATTGATAAATCAAGTGGGATATCTTCTTTTTGGGATGTAATCTATAATAAACTTTAGTCAATAAGAATAATTAGTATTTTTTTAAATCTATCACATTTAATTAACTTGCCATCGCGTGCACATGGTCATGTGACTTGTTTAATAAGATGCAAAAGTTGAAATTTGCTTCCTTTCTCATTTGTTTATGCATTAACTACTCTGAGTGGATTTACTTTTATTACCGGTAGCTCTGCCAACTTCCAGCAACCACATGAGAACATAAACAGATGTGAAAAACAAACACAGATAAAACCAGATTTTCTGTTCTTAAAGGAGAGTTTCTTAAAGGAGAGTTTTCCAGAAAACGAAACAAAACAATCAGTTCTTTTCTTCCATTTTTTCAGTTTATACAGTTTTTTCTTTTTGTTAAATTTCAGGTAAAGCTTTAATTTGCAAATTGCAAGTGTTGTTTAGAAAATTGAATTTTCTTTGACGATTTTACCCTCACAGGCATGGATGATAATGGCATAGAAGAGAGGCTGCTGCTAGTAAGCTCAAATGCAGATAAAAAAGCCACAGACTTGAAGGCAAGGATTTATGAAGAATCCAAGAAAATATGGAAAGTTGCAACGCCGAGCGTCATTTCGCGAGTGGCTTCTTTCGGAACCATAGTCGTAACTCAATCATTTATCGGGCACATAAGCTCCGTGGACCTTGCTGCTTACGCCCTCGTCCAAGCTGCAGGTGTCCGTTTCGTGAATGGCATATTGGTAACATTTTGAATTTTTCTTCACAACTTTTGCCTTGGACTCACTCAGAGTCTTTGTAGGGGTGAACAAATTCGAGCCGAAACTGAAAAATCAAGTCGAACCGTGCAATTTGGTTCGGTTTTTCTTAATGTAAAAAATTTTCAGTTAGATTTTTTCCTACATTGCGGTGCGGTTATAGCTTTTTATAAGTTAGGTTTGGTTTTGTTATTTTCGGTGCGGTTTTGCACTGAACCGCACCAAATTGAATAAAATGCATTGAAAAATAGTGATAGAACAGAAAACAGAGTTCGGAACTGTGCATTTCGGTGTGGTTCAGTTATTTCAATGTAAAAAAAAAAA